AAATATTTAGGCGTCACTTTCTATGAAAATTAAGAAAGAATTTTGGGGCAATATGCTAGAGATTTTACACTCATGAAATGCATGAAAATGCAAAATCAAATAATTTAATACCTACATGAATATTGTGCTAGATCCTGGTTGGGTAAAAAAATTTAGCTAGGGATTCCATCCCCAACCATGCCCTCAACAATCAAAACAAACGTGGCAACTAATCTAGAGTCCAACTAATACTGCATTCAAGTTGCCATCCTTCTCCAACAAAAATGAATTTTGATAAAAGCTATCAAAAAAGTCAAGGTAGAAACCCTTAGAAACGTTCACAAGAGAGGAAGAAACTCTCATAAGTGGGGAGAAAACTCTCACCTTTAATCTAACCCTAACCATTGAGGGAGAAAGAGACAACAATGCCTAAGGGGTTAGCTTCAAAACTCTTAATTCATAATTCAAGAGTTGCTTTGGTGAGTGGAAGGGGGTTTAGATCCCGTAGTTCGAAAAGGTTGATTTTCTCATCATCTGACTTGTAATAAATAGGGACTATTGCTTGTTAGTAATATAGTAACTCATAGAGCTTGCATAAAGACTTCCATATAACTAGTGATGTTTAATTGGTGGTCTTTATACTTGGTAACCATATTATTGCCCCTATAGTGCTTAGTCCTATAATCACTACTATTAAGTAGCTTCTTATTTGTAATTGAATGATTCGTTTATGAGTGTTTAGCACCTTGTTATTAGATGTTATAGGTTTAATTCTTTGTTTCTCGATTGGCTACTATTTAGGAATTATAATTCATTGTAATATCTATTTCTTTATCTATTAGTAAAATCACATTATTTAATTATTATAAAAAGCATTTGGGAATGGTAATAACTTATTATTCTTCTAAATTTGACAGATCATAACCATGACAAAAAAAAATGAATACATGTTTGGGGTCCGTCGTTATGTCCACTCAAATAATTGTTAGGGTTACTAAAAAATATGATAGGTGTGTTTGGTTTGGCTGTTAAGAGCAACTAACAATTATAACTATTAATTGATAATTGATAGAATAATTAATATTTATTACTTAACTGTTTAAATTAATTTATAAATTAATGTTTTTAAGTACCTTAACTAACTATACACTAATAAAATTAAACAAACTAAATACATTTATAATATTTCATATAACCTTAACAATTATTTGTGTGATAATAACCTGGCCATGTTTTAGAGTCTTGTTCTTTGATATCATATCCAAGTTGCAAGTCAAGGTTTTTTGGTCTTTGTTGTCCATGCCAATATCTTGTAAGTCAAGGTCTTTGTTCTTTGATATCATATCCAAATTGCAAGTCAGGTTTTTGGTCTTTGCTATCCACGCCAATGTTGTAAGTCAAGGTCTTTACTGTCTATAATATGAACAATGTTTCCTTTGGGTATTAAAATGAGATTTTGCAATTTTGTAATTTGTTTTTTTATTGTATATTTTATAATAATTAATAAATAAAATAATGATCACCATAATATTAAAAAGTTTATTTTTAATCAATAATTATAAAATATGTAATTTACTTATTTTTTTTGTTACAATGAATCATCAAAATATAAGTAGTTAAAATAAAAATTTGTTAGAACAATTTATGATAACTCCTTCATTGTGGTCCCAAACCGAAAGTAAAGATAAAAACTCATATAATTATAGTTTGACTATAGATTAGCTCTTAGCACAACCAAACCAGCCCTAAGAATATTTGTTTTTTATTCTTTATACATGTAATTAGAGTGAGGTTTCAGAGTTTCTTTTGAGTGTCTCCGATATTCGTTCTATTATTCCTTTTCAGGTTTGAAAAAATACCCTTCTCCAAAGTATTAATTAACTTGGTGGCAAGAACATAAATTAATAGAAAAATTTCTTGAAAGGTTTTGTACATTGAAGGTTAATGCTAAGTCAAGCGATCTCAGTGAAAAAATTATGTACATGAGGGTTACTACTAAGTCAATAAGTCTCATTGAAAAAATTAACAGCAAAAGCTGATACAAAGGTCAAGGTCCCTTAACATAATTGCTTTTCTTTCTTTCTTTCTTTCTTTTTAACTTTTAGAAATTGAGGAAGGAGGAATCACAATGCAAAGGATCATAAAACCACTAGCATGATCATATATTAGTGCATTTCCACCATTAATTACCACTG